GGGTTGTGTGGTAATTGGCGCTTGTGTTATTTTATTTATCATATTAATTAACATAGCGGCCAGTAAGCGCCCTGGGTGGTGTGGTGATTGGCGCTTGTGTTATTTTATTTATCATATTAAAAAACAAAGCGGCTAGTAAGCGCCCCGGGTCGTGTGCGAATTGGCGCTTGCGTTATTGTTTATTGTATTTTATTAATCATTAAAGCTTGTGATACTGCTTTAAGGCGCGTTGGGTTATTGGGTTAAATAGCTTAGGATTAATTTATCAAGTTATGGTGTATGAAATGTTGTCGAGTTATCTGGGGTTTTGCGTCTTGCTCCATATAGCCAATTTGAATTTCCCGCAAGTTCGGCAGTCACTTTTGAGAGCGCTGCTGATGAGTCCTGGCGTGCTCCCGGGACGAAACATTAAACAATCTTTTCTCTCTTATCATGGCATCACTTGATCGCCATACGTTTGTGGGAAATTGAAGACGTTAATGGCTTGTCGTTGAAGCCGGTTGCTGGGCAGCCCCACTGCTGCCGTGTTCATGTAGAGAAGACTTGCTTATGAACGATAACAAGGTTTTATTCTTGGTTAAAGCAAGTTACAGGGTGCCTCGCAGGATACAACGTCTAGCAGCGTCGGTAGACGAAAAGGAACTGGTCGGCTGTGCGAGCTAAGGTGTGTGCGGCGCAACGGTCATAGAGAGGGAGCAAGAGAGAAGACGTGAGAACAAGTTTAGGCCTATTCCGATCTTGAATACATGAAGGTCCGTGTTTCTATATTTTCTGGCTCTGCTAAAGTGCTATTCCGCTGTTCCGGCTGTTCGAGCTATTTCGCATGCGCTGCGCATCGCTGGCTGCACCTGCTCAAGTACCATGGTCCAAGCGCTAATCTTCACTATTTTAATTAGTTGTTACATGCAAAAAAATGACCAATACAAAATGAAAAAATTTTTGGAAAGTTCAATAAACCTGTAGCAAAAAAATTGTGCTGGTCTGAAGTCTAAAAATCAAATATAACGGCTGGAATGCGTAAATACCTGAAAGTTTTGTATCTCGGCTTTTGTTGATCCTATAGAGACCATTTTTTTAAATTCATGTAATGATAAGCGTAATTAATTGCACTTAATTTTTGTCTAAGTTGAAAATTACAGAAAAAAACGGCCTTGT